ATCTGCTGCGAGACCACATGAACACCCACACGGGGGAGAGGCCGCACCAATGCGAGGAGTGTCATAAATCCTTCTCCTGGTTCAGTAGCCTGCTGGTTCATCAGAAGATTCACGCACGCAAAAAGCAAGCTTTAAGCCACTACAGCTCCTACCCAGTTGGTGCCCGGATGAGGGGAAGGGGGAAGAGGGGAGGGAGGCTAGTGTGGGGGTTGTCCAGACCATCTGGGATCTCAGAGGTGGTTCCTCCTCCTCAACATCACCTCTACCCAGTTTCTCCTCACAGAGATTCCGAGTTGCACAGACAAGCGCCGCAGCAGCCCTCTCTGTCTCGCATGGATTCACAGACAAGGCAACAGAGTGAGGCATGGCCGTCTGAGCCGCCTCGTCAGCCGCTGCAGTGGAGCGTGGATGCTAGAGAGGTGCCCCCACCTCCCACGCAGCACCATCCTCAGGCTCCACAGTATGACGTTTCAAAACAGCCGGCGCTTCAGCAACAGCAGCAACATCATCAAAGGAGTCCAGGCTGGGCGGATATGTCGTTATTGGGCCCTGGGTTGGCTCCCAACTTGGACTCCCAGTTGAAGGAGAACACTTCTTCTGTTCTGGCCTCTCATATGCCAAGGAAATCCAGCCCATCAGTGGCAACTGAGATTGTGCAACAAAGACAGCATAAACTCTCTTTGTGGAGTAACACTCCAACATCCACAGGCTTGGCTGCAACAAGTTCCTTGCAGCATGATTTTTCCGTTCCCTCCTCCTACATAGACGGAGCTGCGCTGTGGAGTGTCCGCCCCACTCCACTTACAAACTCTCAGAGCTCCCCAAACAAGCTCGGCCAAGACCTGCAGCTGCCACGGTGGCCGGGCGGCCCAGAGCCGTCCCCGCCACCCAAGAAAGAGGAAAGGCTGTGGGACATCAATAGTCCTTCAGTTTTGTCTTCGACTGTTACTCAGCCAGAGAAGGCGTGGAACGGCTGCGAGCCGCAAAAACCATGGGTTTCCGGTCTCACAGGTGCCCCACCCTCAGCTCAAATAGACCAAAGCAACGCCATGCCCATCTCAGCTCCTGGTTCTCACGGGGTTACCAGCAACTTGTGGGACATTCAAACCCCTCCAGGGATTTCAAAGACTGTGAACTCTGTGGATAAGTTGGTAAATAACCAAGAGTTTCAGCTGCAACAAAAACAGGTCTCGCCCGGCTGGAGTGGCGTGCAGACCCCCACGCAGAAGGTTCCCATATCCATCCAATATGAGCCTCATCGTTTCAACCAGGGGATGGGGACCCCCGTCTGGGGCTTCCAGAACAACTCCGTCGGACCTCAGTCTCTGCTCTCCGGCCAGCTCAAACCAGGTGGCGGACAGGAGTTGCAGCAGCAACCGATGGCATCAGCCGCTCAGATCATCATTAATCAACCTTCTCCTTTTTTCTCTCCTCCGCTCGCTCCTCTTCCCCCCTTGGCTTTGCCTAGCCCTCACCCCCTCCACTCGGTCCCGGTCGGTGCAATACCCAGACCCCCACACCCAAACATATTTTTCACCCCACAGCCGGTCATGAGCGAGAGGCCACACATGCCGCAGACCCTGCCCCTACCTCAGCTCCCCTCGCAGACGGAACCTCACAAGCTGGGAACCCGTCTGCCATTTCCCCCTGAGCGGCTTCTCCACTGCATGATATGCGGACTCTCCGTTCCCCGGGAGCTGGATCTACAGATGCATTACCTTCAACATGCGAAGGGGGAGATATGACACTTCTACACTAGTAACAAACCTTAGTTCTGTTTTTTATAATTGTCTGTAAAACCTCATTCATTTGACACTTTGCTGTTGAGTGGATGATGATTTAAAACAAACAAAAAAAAAAGGTGTAAGTGAAACCAGACACAATTTGCACATTTGATTTTGAAATTTGATGTAAGACTGTGCAGCGTGTTTGACCAGAGGATGTATATGTCTATAATTGGTTTCGCCAACTTTTCAGATCATTTCAGGGGTGCGGATTAATGAGGTTCTGCAGGCTACATTTCATGTATTGCTGATTATGTTTAGAATTAGATCTTAGTAATTTTCTAGTTCTGTCCATATGTCTTGAACCATTTGTACCGTGTTTCTCCATGTACAGTATACAGTGTGCCTTTTATGAGTACAGTCTGCATGTCTGCTGTCTTGGTATTCTAGGCCCTAGTTTGTGCTTTCTAAGTAGACTGAACAGTGTGACCTCAACCCGTCACAGGCAGAACAACTTGGTTAAAGGTGCTGAAGAGTCTGGAATAGGGGGGGCTGTGAGGTAAAATGTATTTTAAAGTATGCATTGATTTGTAAAAGAATTTATACCTCTTGAAGTTTTTCACTCTGTCTTTTCAACCAGAAACTTTGATGTATCTTATTGGGGTTTTATGTGAGAGAGTAACACAAAGTAGAAGAAACCTGGCCGGAGAAAATGGATACATGTTTTATTTAATAAGTTTTTTATTTACATATAATCTGGAACTTGTGCATTCTATTTCATCCCTTTGAGTCAGTGCTTATGACTTTAATTTTTCTTTAACTCCATCCCACCAAGTCTGATCAGCTACCCTGTTCCTGCTGTTCCCACAGTATGATACCGTCACCACCATGTTTCCTGCTGCTAGATGATTTCTATACACTCTTTGCGTTAATCCATCACATAAAATCTCAGTGCAATACATTGTTTTTTGGCTGTTCTATGACTAGATTAATAAATTGAAGGGGTATAAGTCTATTTTGCAAAGCACTCTACATATTAAAGCTGCTGGCCTACAACTATGATCTCTTCCTTGTGTGCAAAAAGCCACAGGCTGGGTCCAAATGTCTCCCCAAACACAATGGAAAACTGAATGAAATACAAACTTTCTCTACCGGAACTAATAAATGTATCATTTAGAAGGTCCCTTTACATTAGTTTCCAGTAATAATCTGGCAATCTAGCTGCAGTTTAGCAATTAATCATGGCACTGTTAAGTTTTGTAATAAAACAGACTTTAATTTGGGATTTTTTGTCTTTTTTTTTTTTGTCTTTTTTTTTTTTTACAAAGGCATTGAACAGGTCCTACACTTTATTCCACTTTTTCCTGCTTAGATTTAATCTAGAAATGTACCTATATTCATAAAACCAAATCCCACCTTGAAGTACTTCAATGTGTTTCTGTGAATTATCATTTATTTCCATGACTGTAAGTTTAGTTGACTTCACGTTCTCATTTCCCCATATTTAAAAAAAAAAAAAAAATGGAGTAGCTTCCCGGGGAGAATATAATCCCGAATACCTTTTGTTATTGCTGTACAATAAACACAGGTCTTTGTAAAAACAAATACCAAACCCTCTTTCCTTTGCATTCATTGGTTCCATAAATTTGCCTTTCTACCTCCACCCACCCTTTTTAATCATCACTGGGTTTTTTTCATATCAGATTGAATAAAACCTTTTACTATATTGTTTGCTTCAATCTTTCGCATCTATGTTAAGATTTAAAACCTGAAACTAAAGATATTTTTGTTTACTATTTTACCCGGTTGTACTTTTAGTTTTAATGGGTTTGACCCTTAAATACTGAATAGTGTTGACTTTTGATGAGAAAAATAACTTAAAATGCCATGAAATAGTCACAGCTTTATATATACTTTGGTAAATAGTAAAAAAAAAAAAAGATATGAAGAGTTAATTTGCAGTAAAAAAAACATAAGAAAATGTAAGAAAACTTTTATCAGCATCAAGCAAAGAGTAAATTACACGCCTCAGCTCTTTTTTTTTATTTTTATGACTTTAATCTGTTTTTGCAAATGAAGTCTTCATATATTAATCATGTAGTTAAGCAATAGCCCAAATTAGAATTAAAGCAGCCACGAGGTTCATTTGGAAACTAAAACCAAAAAAGACAGAATGTTTATTCCATTTATCCCAGCTAACAGGGTCAGAAAAAAAAATAAAATTTTATTTGAATTGAGACTCATCAGACATCTAATTGACATCGATATTTTATATCTAGGCCACATTGAAAGCTTAAAAAATTTGTATCAGCACAAGAACCGTGATTTCATTGTGAATCTGCATCATTGATTTGATAGGCTCTATTTCAAGCCTTGTTTTGTCATTATTAAAAAAAATACTATTTTACAATTCACGCTTATTATAGAACCATTCAAAATTCTGTAAAATTTGATAAATATACAACTTCTAGCTTAATTAGAACTCCTACTTATTGAACTCTACATATTGTAGGGTTCCAACATTAAAGTTGATTTTAACTTACCTTATGGGTTAATACAATTAATTGTGAAACAGAAAGTAAAGGGTCAACATTATTAATTAATACTTCCTCTGAAATCTGATGCAAGCTGCTTTGGTAACTAAATACATAGATGTTGCTTTGATATACTGACTGAAAGGAAACTTCATGCACATAAAAACATTGTTGATGTGAGGATGAATACATGAGCCTGTTTAAAGCAATGATTTACACATATCAATATTTGGTGCTAATTTAAATAGAAAATTATTGCATGATTTGAATAATGACGTGACAGACACTCTCTGCTCTGCCTTAATTCTCCATTGATTTTGATCAAATTGGATGATTTGTCATTTGCATAAAAAAAAGGTCTGATAATTTTAACGATACGATTTTTTAACAACTTCTCGAGTCAGTGAAGCAAAGATAATCGCTTTCCAGTGTACTTTGTAAAAAAAAAAAAAAAAAGCTGTCTTCTAAAGGGACATGATATATATATATTTATTATGGTGGCTCCCGTTTTATAACAGACATAATTGAAAAGAATCTTCTTAACATTTTCAATATTGAATTTACACAAAAAAACTTAGATTGTTTAATTAATTATGTATTGATTTATTTTTTTGCATTAAACACTTCATGTAACTTTAATCTCACACCGCTTCAATAGGAGGCACTGTTGAGTCAGTAAAAAAAACAACAGAAGAAGGAGGAGAAGAGGTGAACTACCGGCTGAAATGCGCATGCGCAAAACGGCTAGCTGTTTATTAACAGTTGCTTTAATTGTGGTGCGTGTTTATATTAACGCTGCACTGTAATAACGTGCATTTTGTAATATCTCTCTCTATATATCTATATATAATTATTTCTAATTATTCCTGACTACCTGATTTGTTTGGTCATTATTAAAGACAGGCGCGTTTAATTCACAGTTTACCCAACTGGCTAAGCTTCGTTAGTGCGGCTAACGTTAGCAAACAGCTACAGCAAGATGGACGAGCCTGCTGTTCCATTAGCAATCAAAGATGACACTCAAAGCTCGACCTACAATGTTAAAGACGATGAAAACAAGGACCGTAAGGAGCCCGCAGACAGTAAGTGTCCTCTCACTGTTATGCTTCATCTTTTTATTTTCCATTTTCTGTACTAACTTAAGATCTTGCACATTTCAAACCGTTTATATTGAACTGATGCTTTCGTATATCAGAAAACATAAAACGTTGCTAGCTCGATTATATGGATAACGATGAGGGTTTATTACACTAGAATATGATGTTATTCTCTCCTGAATTAAAACCTCCCCACAGTATTTTGCAACTCTTTTCTTCATGTAAGATTTTCCTCTAAATTGATCAACTTTCTGGCTTTTTAATGTCACCTGTATCAGACTTTTCCATCTTTTCTTAAAGTTGACCTTTTCCTTTTAAATATGATTAGTTTTGTACTCATTATTAGTGCAGATATGCCATAGATTTTCCCTTTATCTACTATAATAATAAGCACTCCCTGTATCTGAGTTGTCGTTTATAAATAATGTTGCAAAGATCTTGGAGCAATTTGGTGTGTAAAAATACATCAATCTATATTGATAAATTATTAGCAGTTCAATTACATAAATCTGAAATTAAAATATTGTTTCACATTGTCATCTTTATAATATATGCTACATCTGCCTGTGTTTTGTTCTAGTGTGAAAAGGTGATCTAATTGTGGTATTCTAGTGATATGAATTGCCCTTTATTATTGAACTATAGAGATTATTGACTTGCTGTATGATTTCCATCAACATTGTATCATGAAAAATTATGACATTAAAGTTACTATGAAGATAAAGCAAAACAGGAACCTATCAAGTCACTGAATGAGAAAACAAGAATAATAAAATCTGTGAAACGTTTGTGATTTAATAATTGATTAAATAATTTATAATAATAATGATTGAACTTTATTTATCTTACAATGGGGAAAGTCACCGTCTGCATTTATCCCATCCTTTTGGGGATCATTGGGCTGCCATTTTGCGGCACCCGGGGAGCAGTGGGAGGTTAAGGGTTTTGCTCAGACACTCAGAATGGAGCAGAAGCGCACTGCTCTAACCACTAGGCCAACACTCCCTCTGTATTTCTACATTTGTAATGTACAGAGATAAAAATCTGTCATTAGAGTATGTGAATGAAGTGGACTCTCCGTTTTTCGTGTAATCAGCATTCAGTGCTGGTTGAGGCTTTGTGCTGTTATCAGTACTTTTAAAGTGTTGCTTTCAGACGCATGTTAAAACTTGGCTCTATGAAGTTTATTAACTCACAAAGGTTGCGTGATGCCCTCTACTTTTTTATCTTCACCTTCTGAGCAGAGAAGAGAAGTTGCTGCTGCTCCACCATGCAGCAACGCTAAATGGGCACTATTTAGGTGATAACCTAAGGAGTTTATTGGGTGTTTATATTTACAAGCAGAATTGGATAAAGTTAATTCTGAATCCTTTTTCCCATTAAACAGAGCTGAGTTTTGTAGGTCAAATCCTCCTGTAGGCTGTGTGTAAATGTAAACGAGAGTTCAGAAAAAAAAGCAACAGTGACCGTGATATCTTGCAGATGCACCATTGTTGTTTTGGAGGATAAACACTCCTGCGAGTTCTCGAATAGGCTCCCCCTTGCACTTTGAGGGGAAACTGCTGTGCGTCCCTAGAAATTCCAGACCGACGGTGCAGAAGCATACCAGCAAAAGGTTCGCCACCAGACCCAAGCAGAAGTATAATCTCGCCTTTACAGCTCCTAATCCCTGTGGCTTCATGGTGGACCTCCAGGGGTCAGTGGAAAGCATAACCATGGGGGAGAGTGGCGGCCTGGTGGTTAGGGCATTGCACTTGCATTTATTTTTTTTACCATCAGGCCATCTTTAATCCATTTCTTTATATAGGGAAATTACAGCTGATCACTACTGTAGATCATGGATCGGAAGCATGACCTAAAATGGGTTACTTACTTTCTGTTGGTGGAGCCACTGTAGTGTAAAGACATGACAATGCATATCCTTTGTTTAGATTTTTTTGTACGCTTTGTTAAATAACCTAAATGATTCAATTTTTTTCTCAGGTCACATTTTGTATCTTTTCAGTCGGAAGCACATAAAGTACTTTTCAGAGTTAGCATTTTGTTAAAAATAAAACACTTCTGAGCTATATACTTTTCTCAATGCACACCCCTCTCCTTAACAACATACCTTAAGTACCTGGAGACTTATTTGAGGTTATTTAGAAGAGTAAACTCTTGGTTTGCTGGAGTTCCTCAGAATAATAGGTGAAACTGAGCTACGTTGGTTTAAACTGTTGCTGATGTGTGGTGGGCCTGCCTCAGAAGCCTCTTTCCCAATAAAATTAGTGGGTTAACGCAGGTTTTTCATAGACAGTTCAACTGGCTAACAATCTGCATTTGGCTCCCTTTCCATTGGCAAAACAAGCTGGGTCTGACCCCTGCAGGCGAGCCGCATGGCCTCTGTCCCACTGCCCCATGTGCCTCATGCTGGGCTAGCATACATGATGATAATAGTGTGACAGAAATCAAGAAAGTGAATAATGGAGTGCAACATGGAAGGAAACCAGGGCATAGTCAGTGTGCTGTATTGTTTCACTCTTTTATCCATCCGGATCTCTCCCACCAGTGCTGCCATGTTTATCAACGTGTAAACTGGGTTGTTTTAGCTTTTTATATGAGTTTGCCTCGATGTTGTGACGTCGATACCTCAAGCTCAATAGTATCACGTAAATAAGCAGTCGACCCGACTCTGGGGTTTCCACTGTATGCCGATCAGAGCCGAGCTGTTTGAAGAGGATTTTAATCCAGGTCACTTGCCGAGTCGTTTGACTAGGGACAGTGAGCTGTTCCCACTGCGACTAAAAGCTGACTGTTGCCAGGTTTAAACAGGTTTCTCAGCCAGTGGGAGAGGAATATTATAGTGCTGATAGAATCGGGAATATGTTGTATCGTTATAGTGAAATAATTCTGCAGAGCTTCTGGATTTCATCTAAACAATAAATGAATGTATAACCCCCCTGTTCCTGTTTGGGATATGATTTAATGCCTTTTACTCTGGGATTGATTGGACTCTTTTATGTAACCGGTATCCTCAAGAAGCCTATTTGTAATTGGATAATTTTCAAAGGCAGCATTTGTGACTGCAATGCTGTGATTGCTGAGAAATGCGGTCACACCCATGCAGGTACCCAAGAAAGATTGCAAAAAAGTATTGATGTTTATTTTTATCATCATTTGTCTCTGTCTTATAAACGGTAGTTTAACCTAAAGCTGTAATATTATTCGACCAAATAATTAAATGTTACCTCATGATTTAAAGCACTTCAGTTTTGTGTTTTCAAAGGAATGTTTTTTTTCTGTTTTATTTGATTTATTTATTTTTTTTTTTTGTGGTAATTGTGTGCCTGTTTTTTGTTTTTTCTGTAAACCTAAATGTGGTCATAAATAAAAGCCCTGTTTTCAACCTCTGTTTGGTTATATATTTAATTCCTTTCTTGGAAGCAGGAGTCTCTTTGACCTCCTATTTTCCCGTTTCTATTCCTAGGGGATGGGCTTTTCTGCCATCTGGATTGTGGAGAAGCTTTCAGCGAGGAGGCGGCGTACTCGGAGCGTCCGCATCAGCACCCTCCACAAATTGGTTCGGATGGTTTGCTGGATGCTGAGAAAGACAATGAAAAACTATATTTTTGCACTCTCTGCTCACTTTCATTTACTGAAAAGAGTGAACTGCACTTACATATGAAGGACCACGTTCAGACCTCTCTGGAGCACTCTGATGCTGGTAATCCTGGAGCAACAAAACAGCGCGTCTACGAATGTTCAGATTGCGGCAAATCTTACACAGTGATTGGACACTTTCTTAACCATCAGCGGTCACACAAACAGCCCTCCAAATCGGTCTTTCATGACCTAGAACATTTAAAAAAGAAGTCTTTTCAGTGCGAGTCCTGTGGAAGGAGTTACTCTCGTTCTTCGGCCCTCGATGCTCATAGACGATGCCATGAAGAGAAGCTGGTGAAGTCCAAAAACCGGAGCTCTGGAGAAATTGTTCAGGCTGTGGAGCCAGAAGCAACGCTGAGTGAAAATCCAACAGTTGAGGATAATGAAAACCTGTTTAGATGTTTGTGCGGCAAAGCTTTTTCTAACATGATGCGCCTGAAAACACATCAGAGATTCAGCCGCAACCCTCTTTGCTCTCCAGAGGAGCTGAAGCAAAAGCCAAAGAAAGGCTGTGGTGAGTTTCACTGCAGTGAGTGTAACAAGGCGTTCAATGGCTACATCGCCCTCTTTAACCATCAGCGATGGCACACTAATCAATCAGATGATCCGGCGAAAAAGTTCCCCTGTGAGGAATGTGGAAAAGTATTCATGACTCTGACATTCTACTACAGACACCAGCGCACTGCACACAGCGTTGAGACGCCTTCGAAATCTTTTCACCATCAAGTCTGTCAGCTCCAGAAGAAGGCATATGAATGTAAAGATTGTGGACTGAAATTTTCCAGGCCTTCAGCTCTTCAGTCCCATCAGCTTCAGCACACGGATGTCTTTAAAGAAACTGAAAAGCCACCTTCAGAACCCCCTCTTCAGCCTCAGAGGATATCGGAGAATATACAGAAAGACAACGAGCAACATTCAGCTGAAGGAGCGGTGGAACCAGAAACATTCCCTCCTAGTGGTATGGATGGAGAACAGAAGATAAACGAAACGGATGAAGACCTGGAGAGTTATGAGCCAGGGGACTTTAACGTACAGGTGATCAGCCCAAGTGAATCTGAAGACGAGGCTTTTCAAGAGCCGAACCCTGATCTGGAGCTGCTGTGTGAATCTGACCAGGAGCTGAGAGAGGATGGAGAGTTTTCCCCTGAAAGTCTGGTTTCAAAATCAGAATTGGACCTTAAAATAGTCCAGATTGATTTAGAGCAAAGCTCGCAGTGTGAACTAATTGAAGGTGAAACCCTGCAAAAAACTGCAGAGGAGACGTTAGACTGTCCAGATTGTTTTCGTTCATTTAATAATCCCTCATCGCTGCACGTACACGCAGCGTGGCATGGTGTCCGTAGAAGACGACAGCAGAGTCAGTGTCGGTCAGAGGCAGGGACCGATTGTGAGACGTTCCCTTGTGAAACAGAGAACAGTTTGTTGAATCAGGCCATACCGAGATTGGAAGAAAATACTTACGCCTGCAATGAGTGCAGCCAGGATTTCGCCCAGTCTTCTGCTTTAGTGTCCCATCAGTTACAGCATCACAAAAGAAAACAACACCAGTGCCAGCATTGCGCCTCGTCTTATTTGCATGCAACCAGCTTGTTCAACCACTTGAAAATCTGCAAAGCACAGAAGTCAGAGAGTATATTTGTGAGTAAGAAGGCATACAATCCAAAGAAAACCCTTCTGGGTCCAAAGATTTTCCACTGTGAGCAGTGTGGGAAGGGTTTTTGGTCCTTAGGGGCATATTCTCATCACAAGCAAAATGAGATGGAGTGCATCAATTTGAGGCTCAGAAGAGGGCTGTCGGGATCTGCACACTCTATCGGGCGCAACCGCTCCGGCATTAAGGTGGCGTGCCCAGCGTGCGGCCGGAAGTTCCGCCATAAAGGGATCCTGGCACTGCACATGCGAAAGCATGAAAACGGAAACCACAAGTGCGAGATCTGTGGTCGCTCTTTTCGTCTTTTTTCCAGCCTGGTCAGGCATGAGGTGGTTCATAGCGCCCAGCTGCTCCCGCCACCCGCTAAGTCCTTCCAGCATCAGCTGGAGCAGCTGAAGAAAAACACATATAGCTGTCCTGACTGCGGGAAGCTGTTCTCACGGGCCAAAGCGCTACAGTTTCACATGAAAAGCCATGGCTACGAGACCAGCCACTCCCCGTCCTCAGCGATAACACCGGAGGCTGTGAAGGACCTGCAGTGTTCGACATGTTTAGCACATTTCAGCAAGAAGTCGTCCTTAAGGGCTCATCAAAAGCTTTGCATTAAACGATACGGAAAGGGAGAAGTGAAAACTGAGAGCGATGCTTCAAAAGCGGAGTTTATGGGTGTGGACTTACCAGAACCACCCGAGCAAATCACTGAAGCGGGCGGTAATGCACTGAAGATGGGAAAACATCAGAAAGAGAAGGATTCAGGTTCAAATAATCTAAAGTACAAATGTGAGATTTGTTCTAAAAGTTTCTCAGTGGTTGGAGCCCTGAACGTTCATAAAAGAGTTCATACTAAAGGCTGCAAAGCAGTGGAAGAATCAAACTCCGATGTCTCTCTGTTTAAAATGACCAAAAAAGAAAAGCAGAGTAGAATGAATATCCATTGCTTAGACTGTGGGAGGTGTTTCACCACAAAGGCAGCGCTTGGCTCCCACAAACGATGGCACAGGAATAAGAAGTGTTCTCCACCTTCACTTGGAGAAGACGTCTTCAATTCTGTTGATCAAAAGACTGAAGGCGGAGGGTTTATGTGTGAGAAATGTGGCAAACATTTCTTTAACAGTCACGTCCTCCAGCGCCATCGGATCTTTAATCCTCGGTGTCTGACCAGAACTGATCCAGATACAAACACAGATCTGGAGAGAGACAGAGCAATGGAAAAGTTTTCATGTCTGGAATGTGACCAAACGTTCGGGCAAGTTTCACTCCTGGTTAATCATTTGGATGAGCATCGTAAAGTTTTGGAGACAGGAGAGCCTTCAGATCCTGCCTCAGAGCCCCCTGATGGAAGTGAATCCGTGCCATCAGCCTTAAAGATTAAAACTCATCAATGTCCTGTCTGTTCCATGACTTTTGAAAAAGCCAGAGGTCTTCGTGCTCATAAATGGCAGGCCCACGCAGAGAGCAAAAAAAGCAAAAACAAGCCACCTCAGAGTGGTAAAGTTGAACAAATGGCTTTAGAAGACAAAGTGGACCAGTCTGAGCACTGTGTAAACACTTATAGAGAAATAGAGGAAGCTAAACCCGATCCCCAACCCGTAAGATCTGACCCATGTCTCGATACCCAGACATTGCCTGGCTCTGCTGAGGCTTCTCTTAACACAGTATGTATAGAGTTCAAACAGAATTTAGAAACTGCTGAAGCCACGGATGAGGTTTCCTCGCCGCTCAGCCGTTTTTCTGAGCCTGCAGTGAAATACCTCTTCAGGTGTGATAAATGTGGCAAAGCTTTTCAGACCGAAGAGCATTTGGAAGGCCACAAGAACAAAGCGAAGAGTCGACCTTACTGCTGCGCTCTGTGCTGCCACGGCTTCTGGACGGAGAATCAGCTGCAGCAGCACCTCATCTGGCACGACGAGGTGCGCTGCCGCCTCCCCAACGAGGTGCGCTTATGGCTCAGCTCTGCTGAGACCTCAAAGCTTTTGAAAAAAAACTTTGCCAACGCCACCGATGGCAGAGGAAAGCTTCCCCCACCCTCTGCTGCGAGCCAACCCTGCCTTGACTCCACCGGGCTTTCGAGACACAGCTGCAGATGCAAACTTTGTGGCAAAGCCTTTCATTCGCCGACAGCCTTACAGAAACACAGAGTGCAGTGCAGCAGCATGTCGTACTGCTGCTCTGATTGCCCCAGGGTATTCAGCGGCATACAGGAGTGTTTTGATCATCAACAGGGTTCACCAGGATCTATACACGGTCTCCCTGGGAACAAAACCTCATTCGAAGACCCAAACTTCCCTAATCTACCTTGAATGTTGAACTCCTGCACCAGCATCTTACAGAGCATGCTCTTAAGTAGAACTCTGCAGATTTATTTTAGTTCTTCTCTCTGCACCTTTGTGATGTTTTAGGCCCTCTATTCTCAGGCTTTCCTTTACACTGGACCAGTATCACTGTAAATGTGAATGTACAACTGCTCTTATAAGCTCCTAGTGATTTCCTTTTAGCCAGTTAACCTCTTATTGCAAGTGGATGAATGTTTGCTCAGCCTTTGTGGGGAAAAAATTATCTTTAGTGTTTGTGTTCTCAGAGAGAACAATAGGTTTTATTAACTTGCCAATCCTTATTGAATTAAAACTTTAAAAAAGGAAATGCTGCCCTCAAAAGATGCACTGCTAATTTAAAGTTAATAAAATATCTACATAATTCCTGCTGTGGATGTTTTTTTTTGTGGAAAAAAAAAGCACTTGTATAAATATATATTTTGCAGCAAGTCTCACTGTATTGAAACGGTTTTGGAACATTTGATTCATAAACTTAAAAAGTGTCATTTTCATTTTTCATTATAGCTGTCTAAAGCTTTGTTGTTAAATGACTTTCTAAATGTGCTTTTCATGTTTTCTGAAGGATTGTTGTAAAATAGAAAAGGTTTAGTTATTAATATATATCAGATTTATGCTTTTCTTTTTATGTCCAATGTTTCTTTGACTGTTTAGTTTGCTGCTTCAGAAACAAAATAAGATAAAAGTGTTTAAATCTTACAGAGTCGTGTGGTTGATTGACTTGACCTCAATTTTTTTTTCCTGAGATTTTTATCATTCATGATGGTTCCTGCACTATTGTCGAAGTTGTTGTTCTGTGGCCAGAAATATTTTGGGGAATTAAGCACCTATAACCTCGGTGACCTTTATAAAAGTGTCTGGTTGTTCTGAAACCTCTCAGATGTAAAAAGAAAAACTGCGGATGTTAAATTGACTGTTTATCATAAATGATTTTTCATTATAGGCCTTGTTGTGGTTTTAATCTGAATCCTCTTTGTGTCTTAGACTTCGAAATGATCCTCGGTTGTCAAAGATTATAGATCAGAGAGGTTGATGGTTTCATAACCAAAAATTAGACCTAGGTTATTTATTCCTATCCCAGTCAATACTTAAATGGAAACCATGCCACTAGATCATGTTGCTCCAATCAGTGGAGGTTAAAAGCCAAAGGAAAGGCTTTTTTTAAAAAGGTTGGTAACTGGATAACAACAATAAATATATTTAATTGAAGCTTGCTTTTTTTTTGTGTGTCATTTTAAGGTTTTGGGGAGTATTTTCATTTCTCATTTAGAATAAAAAACAAAAACTGTAATGCTTTTAGATATTGAAAGATCTACTTTTATGTTGACCGCTTCTTTTTTTAACTTTAGCAAAGTGACCATAAGGTATATTTAAAGTCTTCATTTTGTCCCTAAATATGGCGGATCTTTTTTTTATACGTAGGTATTTGTTTTAATTGAAATGTTAATTTTCCATACTTTTGCATAAGAGGTTTAATGTCTAAGAACTTTGTGAAATACAATCCTGTGTTGGGCCAACTGATTAAAAAAAATAGACAAGCAAAAAAACATGACGGTGACTCCCCCTGCTGGTAGATTACAGGTACTCCAGACATAAAGAATATCTTCAAATTATAGATCAGTGCTTCCATTTGTCTTTTTATGCATATAAAACCTACTTGTTGCATTTCCAGTATTGTTTCTAACAGGGTTCAGGAGCCTATAAATCCAAACCTGCATCAGGCTGTGTGTGCGCTAAACATTCGCTACTAATTGACTTTTCACAGAAAAAGAAAATTTTTCTTTCTAATAGGGCATATGTAAGGATGTATTTCTATAAAAGGATTTCAACAGGCCAGCTACATCAGTATACCAGTAATTTTAAAGTTTTTATTTTTTCCATAGTGGCTTTTGGCTCCTAAATATAATTAAGCCCAAAAATGTTGATACCCTTTGAAATAGTCTTTAAATTTGACCATTACGCTTCTGTTGATTAAAGCCCGCTTAGGAGAAAGAAGTTAGAGCAAAGTGTTGTTTATAAAGCAGACGATTCTATATTAAATACTTTTTTTCCCTCTTTCTTTTCAGCTAATGAGGATGTTATAAGATGTCAGGACTGTGGGCTTGTGTTTACCCTCATGGATGCCTATGAGACTCACCTACACCAGCACGCATTGGAAGAAGAAGAATCCCAGCTCCGAGACAAAATGGCTCAATGTGTGGCAGCTGAAGAAAATGGACACAAAGATGGGAGCGTTGGTGCTGAGAGTCCAGGTGTGAGCGGTTGGCCATCAACCCAAATTCCCAACTCATCACAAATAGATCATTACTCCCCCGTCTCTATGAATAACTCTCGACCGGTTTACAACTGTGGGGTCTGTGGGAAGATCTACACCTACCTGGTTTCCTTTCAAAAACATCTAAAAATACATGAAGAACCACCTGAGAAAGAAACGCCCCCCCCACAGGTGGAACACAACCTGCGAAAGTATGAGTGTCCAGACTGCGGGATGTCGTTCATCAGGCGAACGCGACTAATCAGTCACCTGAGAGTGCACCGATCCAAAAGGCTCCAACAGCTGCCTAAATGTGATCAATGCAACAAAGTCTTCATGTCTGGTAAGTCATGGGCATCTCATGTTGAGCTGCACAGAGAGAGGCGTTTCTGGTGTCTGAGCTGTGCTCAAGGCTTCACGACTGAATTGCTACTCGACAAACACCTGCAGAACCACAACGCTGATGACCAGGGCATCCAGAACGCTAAACCACTCCGGAGTCCTCCAAAACCACAACCTAGAAATATGACTTTTCACTGTGTACACTGTGGAAAGGGGTACTGGCGCTCTAAAAGACTGTTCCGTCACAAACTAAAGCATCATTACAGATATTATGACAGGGATGCCAATAAGCCTCCAGGGGGCGCTGGGTTGAGTGACAATATAGGAGATGAGAAAAAGGAATTATCACCTGCAAATGGAAAAGAACAAGTGGAGGAGGTGCAGGTGAAGGAAGAAGACATTCAGACTGAGGGTGAGAGTATACATCCAGAGGCAGAGGATAAGGAGGACTCTGAGGATTCTGACTGTGGAGAACCTGGGCATGGCTACAATTTTGCAGAACATCGTCACTCTGAGGACCAGCTGGACCAACCGAAATTGGAAGCTGTGCAGTCACCACCAGGAAGGAACCTGGAGAGTCCCGAGACAAAGCTGCGCAGAGAGCATAAGTACTGGGAATGGGAGTGCATCGAATGCGATATGGGCTTTGATGAAATGACAAAGCTGCACTCGCATTATGTAAAACATGCAACTGGGGAGTTGCCCATAGTGAAGGTAGAAATTGTGGGTTGAAACTTTACTGTATGATTTCCCCCCCCCCCCTTTTTTAAAAACAAAAAACTGTCTTTCAAAGTGTTTGTCCAAAGGGGATAACATTGTTTTTTAGATAAGTTAGTTTGTTATGAAGGACTGACTAAGAGGAAGGCAAAAAGCAGCTGCAAAATGAATCAGCCTTGTATTTTTAAAACCAAATAAAATCATCTCATACAAGTTTGAGAGTTCACTGCAGATTTTTTATCTATATAAATGTGTTAAATTTAGTAACTCTTCATGTTTACCTTTGCAAGTTAACTTCAAGCACATTTGCTCTTCAGCTTTTTGGGGATGCATGAACTTTTTTAAAATTACAAACAAAAATTAGGTGTGGAGTTTTAGTAGGATTTTATTCAATTGGCATGTGGTTACAAACTTGTACATAGTTACCAGGTTTCTTTACAAACAAACGTTTGAAATTTATCAATTTATATTCATCCCCATGCATCAATACTAAGATGTAAGTCTTATGGGGAAGGTTTCTACTGGTTTGTTCTCCCTGTTCATGCTTCTCTCTGGGTACTCAAGCTTCCTCCACCAGTACAAAAAACATGCCTGTTAGTGTCTCTAAATTGTCCTTAGGTGTGTATGCATGGTTGTATGTCTTTGTGTTTCTCAGTGTTGCCCTGCGATATACTGGTGGCCTGTCCAGGATGTACCCTGCCTTTCACCTATAGCCTGCTGGAGATAGGCACAAGCTGTGACCCTGGTGGATTTTTTTTTTTTTTTAAACAGGAAAAAAAATCCCATTGAGACTTAAAACCTCTCTTTCAAGGAAGTCCTGGCCAAGAGGCATAAAAGGTACATAAGAAACATAGATGCATTCAAATAAATGGCAGGTACTTAAAAAACAGATAATTGAGGCTGCTTGAAATTCACTTTCAACTTAAAAGCATTTAAAGATTAAAAACTCAGTCAACTTCCAGTTTCTTTGTAAAAAATTCCACGCACAAGGAGCTGCGGCAAAAGGAACAGTGAGCAACAGCTGATCGTTGGATCTCAGGGCAGAAGAAGCCATGCTTTTCTCTGCAAGTAAGGTACAAATGTAAGAGGGCAGTAATCCAAGAAGGGCCTATAAATAAAATTGTACCAATGACACTGCCTTCTCATAGAGAGGGAAGGCCATCCCACCTGAGAGTACAGGTCACAGTGATGTCATGGCTCTACAGTTTTATTTGAGGTAGCGGAGTAGGGGAGATCAGTTTTTGCTGTGACGCTAATATCGGAGTAAGAATTATTTTATGGTGCTTTGTGCTGGCTCAAACAAATGTTCAGTTCAGTTAATTACTGTTAAATGCAGCTATTACAAGACATCCAAGGTAGGCTTCCCTAAATTTAAATTTCATTAAAAAAAACAACAGCTATTTTAAATGTGTGGATTTTTTTGTAAAGGATAGTGGATTTAGCACAAATAATCCTTACAAATAAAACAAGGGTAGGGAAATCACGTCCCATCGGCGTTTATTAGTAACTTAGAAAAAAGAAACTGCATATCCCATGATTCCCGCCTGCGCGTCCCTTGTCCTAAGTGACGTCACGCGGTCCGCATCTGCTCCGTTGCGGCTTTGTGAGGAGCGTCGCAGAGATGTTTGGGCGTTCAACCCAGGCCAGGTAAGGTATCTGTGCATCCTGCTACTTCATGTGATTCCGAAACAGGAAGAAGAGCTAAACTAGAGCACATTTAGCATCTCTGAGTAGCAGAACGAGGAGGTGGTGATTTGCTCTGTGATTTTAACCCAGCATGTGCAGGAGGCTAACGGGGCTATTGTTATTTGTGTATCCCATAAGACTGTGAATAGGTTTATCAGGAAAGCTCTTAGTATACTAAATAGTTGTAGTAAAAATAAAAAAAATAAACTGAAGTGTTTTATGTTGTTAGACTGTCTTCATCAGCTGCCCTACATATCTACCCATGAGCTATTGTTATTCAAATGTTTTAGCCCAGCTGCCCCTGTTTTCTGGGGGAGGGGGGTTACCTTCTGCTATGCATACAATGCTATTGCATTTAAATCTGCTTTTTTTTTTTTTTTTTTCTCTTAAGGAGCTTATTTCACTTTTGCATATAAGAAGGTGAGAACCAAAAAGCCATGCAGAGTTCACCAGAGGATCACACTGAATCAAACCCTGTGGCTATATCGGCTGCAGAGGATCAACTAGAAACTGGGGCCCAAACAATGCAAAGCAAACCAGATGAACAAGAGCTGGAGGACCAATCAGAGGCCCCTGCTGAGGCCACAGCAGAGGCACCTGGAAGTATGGTCCCAACTCCACCCTTGGAGAAGGAGTCTGTTGTCCCCTCGCCTACAGAGTCCTGTGAAAATAGGGAAAAGTTGGACACACACTCTTCTGCAAAGTCCAGCGACCAGCCAAAATCGGTTGCTAAAACTAATGCAAGCCCTGGAAATGATGTGAATAAAGAACAGAAACGAGGAAAAGGTGCAAGTGATGGCAGGAAATTTCCTTCTAAGAAAGCCATGATTGATCCTCTGAAGATGGACATGTCAAAACCTGTGGTCACGCCTTTAACGTGTAAGTGCTTTACCTACCTATATAAAGCTTACACTTGTTTAAATTTTGGAAGATTTGTTGATTAGTTATTTATTTATGTTCTTACTTGCCGTTTAGAAGCATTGTTTCTAATTTGAGAGGGGGGGAAGTAGTCCTAAATGCTAATGATTTTTAGATCAGCCACCAAACTGAGGTGCATCTTTCAGTCAGCCAGAGTTTCACCAGATATCAATACTATCAATAATGATATCAATCACAACTTAGTAATTGTAG